AAAAAAAAAAGTGCTCCGCCCTTCGTCGGTTTCCTGAAGGGGCTCTTGTGTGGTTGGGCTCTAGACTAGAGAATGTAGTGCATGTGTGTAGGGTTTTGCTGCATCAACATCGACCTACTTGGGTAGTATAAAAACCCCTGAACAACTACATGGGCGCAGGTCATGGTCTACCATGGTGTTTCCTAATATACATCTCAGTGCTAAGCTTTAGTTGGGAAGTTAAGCCCTGTGAACCCTAACCGCCAAACCATGTGGCCAGATGACCACAAGGGTTTAAACTCTTAAAAACCTATACCCTGAACCCAAACCCTTAGGCCTTTTAAAATCAAGGCTTCTGGTTCTCCCACTCGAAGGAGGGATCCTTCTCCTCAAAGGAGCCATTATGAATCAATCGTTTATTTGTGTGTCTCCCTGGTTGCATGAAAGCCTACTGTCAAACATAGGATCCTGAAGTGTAACATAGAAGCTCTAGAAGCCTAGGTAAGTAGCTATATTATTCTTCAGGCTCTTTATGATCATTATACCATAAAGGAGCCCAGAACCCTATTCTCTTTATAGAGGCCCATACATTAGGCGGCCCTTGGGGTTCCTTAAAACGGAGATGAGGAGAGAGAATGGTTTGGTCACTCGGGCACATAGCAAATCATCGTGCCACAGTCTAGTAGGATTGGTTCACGGCTTGTCATAAGAAGGGTTATACATACGATATCTATAGTTAGAGTAGTTAGAACCTATATTCAAATTGCAACTTGAACTGTCATGGGGTTAGGTCAGTATTTGTGGTCTTGACGGTGAGCAAAGCAGCTTCCGGCCTCCATAATGAGCACACATTCAGAGGAGTTCGACACCAGCAGCGGGAATCCTGCTGTCGATGTCTTTGCAAGTAGCGATCCTTTGATTTTATGTGGGTGGTTGTCAAAATTATGGTCCCGTTTTGGGTCCTTATTATAATACGGCACCTACTATTTAGGGTACCCCAAAAAGGGACCAGAATTTTGACAACCACCCATGTCGGCCTTCCACCTGAGACCCCAACTCCAAGGGCTGAAGATACTCGGTCTTAGCTCCAGTCCCACACCCGTGCATCGACTTAATGATTGTCTTATACTATAAGAATACTGATACGATACTAGACTATACGATAGAATACTATACTGCAATATTCTGTACTATACTATACTAGACTTGTGCTATACTAGACCAGATACTATACTACACTCTACTATACCATACTGTACTATACTGTACTATACTCTACTAGAATTCAATCGGGTTACAGAATAGGATAGCGTGGCATAGTAAGCATAGAGGATGGGATAGGATAGAATGTTAACGTCAATGTAGGCATGCGTACATCTACGTGTGAAGTCGTGCACTTGGGGAGTCGATACAGCTCGGTGCAAGAATTACAAGGCGGCACGCATGAGAAGGGAAGGGTGCGGCTACATGTGCTGGGGCTTCTTGCTAGAACTTACTCCTAGCATCTCTAGACCCTAAACCCTAAACCCTAAACCCTAAACCCTAAACCAAAACCCTATATCTAAAGAACGCTGGAGCCCAGGGTCTTGGAGACCCTATGAAGCCTACCAGCCAAATTCTCTGGACCCCTAACCCTTGAGAAACTTATAGACCCTAATTCCGTGCACCGGTTACTTTAATGATGAGCTCATCAGTAATAGTCTGTTATATCATAACATGTTATGTTATGTGTTTCTAATACATGACCACACAGACAGATAGATAAAAAGATGGAAACATAGAGCTCCACCCTGCCAGGCGACTCGCTGGACCTCGTCCGCGGTGCCGATGCCGTCGGCGCAGAAGCGGTTCGGTGCTCGATGGCCCGTCAGGGGTTGAGGGCTTAGGGTTTCGGGTTTAGGAGTTCCTTGGAGACTGGATTTCTGGAGCCGTTTCAGCTGTAGCAGCATGTTGCTGTCCCCCATTCTCGGGCATTTGAGGGCTGTTGCC